GCTTTAGGGGCGTAGATGAAGCATTTAGGGTATGTAAGTCGCTGTTCAATAAACGCCATTTGCTGCATCCTCATATTGGGGTCTGTGTCGCAATGGCCCTAACGAGGGCAGATGGCCCTGACAGGATGCACCTCGATAACGGGGACAACAGGGGGCTGGGGGTTCCCATCCTGTTAAGGCTGCAGGAGGATTTGGGGTCTGATCCTATAAAGGCTGCAGGGGAGGCCAAGGGTTCTGGTCCTATAAAGGGTGCAGGGGACACTGGGGGTTCCCATCCTATAAAGGCTGCAGGAGGGTTGGGGTCTGACCCTATAGAGGCTACAGGAAGTGCTGGGGGTTCAGGTCCTATAGAGGCCACGGGAAGGTTGGAGGTTCCCATCCTATAAGGCTTACAGGACAGGTTGGGGGCTGATCCTATAAAGGCTGGGGGGGGAGTGGGGGGCTGTGGGCTCTGATCCTATGAAGCCTGAGAGAGGCACTGGGGGTCTGATCCTATAAAGGCTATGGGGGGGGCTAAGGGTTTCCATCCTATTAAGGCTGCAGGAGGGTTGGGGGCTTGATCCTATAAAGGCTGCAGGGGAGGCTGGGGGTTCCCATCCTAAAAAGGCTGCGGGAGAGTTGGGGGTCTGATCCTATAGAGGCTGCAGGGGAGGCTGGGGGTTCCCATCCTAAAAAGGCTGCAGGAGAGTTGGGGGTCTGATCCTATAGAGGCTGCAGGGGGGCTGGGGGTTCTGGTCCTATAAAGGCCACAGGAAGGTTGGAGGTTCCCATCCCACAAAGCTTACAGGAGGGGTTGGGGGCTCCCACCCTATAAAGGCTGCGGGAGGGGGGGGGGGGGCTCTGATCTTATGAAGCCTGGGGTGGGATGGGGGGGTGGATCTTTAGAGTCCCCTCCAATGGGGTGCTGGTTTTATGGATGGGGATGTAGGGACACAGAGCAGATCAGGTGCGAGGTTCCCTTAATTGTCAACAGGTAATTAATCGTCACCACGTAATTAACAGAGGGCAGGGCGCCGTTTCTGCTGCACCGAAGCACAGGTGCCATTCTGCAGCGCTCCAAGCCCGTCTGTGAATCCATTAGGGCTCATTTGGAGTCATTAAAAAGAAGGGACCAAGGTGTGGTATGGGGCATTCTGCATCTTTTGTGAATGGAAACTTCCTTCTTATACCCTGGCAGGAAAACAAAACACACACACACAAAAAAGTGGAAAAAAAGACAAAACTTCCAAATTAATCTCAGTTATCGGTGTCTCTTAATGAGCGTGTGTGGACAGGGCTGAGTTATTTTTACCTCTTCCACAGTGATGTAAGCTTGGGAGGGGGGACACCTGCTGCTGTCTTTGCTGAGTGAGTTATTTCTGCACCCCATAATACTCTGCTTGTGGTGAATCGTTGGACTTTTGTCGCTTGCAGCCTGGGTGCACTCCTGATCATTGCGAGGATGGGACAAAATGTGCTAGGACTCACAAAATGGGATTCCTGGTGAATGAGTGGCTGGAATTGAGCTCTCTGGAGAAGAACTTGTGGCTCCTGGTGGCCAACGGGGTGACGGTGAGGCAGCAGTGTGTCCTGCTGGCCTAACTGGCCGAAGGTGCAATGGTTGGCCGATGGCTGACCAAAGATTGAGCAACAGCTGACCAACATTTGACCAACGGCTGTCCACAGATTCACCATGAGCCAGCAGCATCTCCTGGTGGCCCAGAGGCCAATCTTGTCTTGGTTGACCAGTGGTTGACCAGCAGTTGACTGATAGTTGACCGTGAGCCAGCAGTGTGGTCTAAAAGGCCAATGGTGTCCTGGCTGACCAACGGTTGACCAACAGTTGCCCAATGAATGACCAGTGGTTGACCAAAACTTGACCAACAGTTGCCCAATGAATGACCAGTGGTTGACCAAAACTTGAATGTGAGCACAGCGTGCCCTGTCGCCCAGAAAGCCAATGTTGTCCTGGTTGGACAATGCTTCACCATCTGTTGACCAACAGCTGACCAACAGCTGACCAACAGTTGACCAACAGTTGACCAATAGTTGACCAACAGTTGACCAACAGTTGACCAATGGTTGACCAACAGTTGACCAACAGTTGACCAACAGCTGACCAATGGTTGACCAATGGTTGACCAACAGTTGACCAACAGTTGACCAATAGTTGACCAACGGTTGACCAACAGTTGACCAACAGTTGACAAATTGTTGATCAACAGTTGGCCAACATTTGACCACGAGCCAGCAGCGTGCCCCATTGGCTAAGAAGGCTGACGGTTCCCTGGTGGGCACATCACAGAATGCAGCCAGCAGGAGAAACTGAAGGAGGAGAAGAGAAAGGGGGGAAGAGAGAAAAGAGAAAAGGGGAGAGGGCAAAGAGAAAAAGGGGGGAAGGGGGAAAAGGGGAAGGGGAGAGGAGCTGCCCAGCTCCGCTCTGCACTGGGGAGGCCCCATCCAGAACACTGGGCCACATTTTCACCCCCAGTCCATCGAAGCACCCCCTCTGCACACAGCTGTTATTGGAGACCGCCGCCTCGTTCTGCCGAGAGCCCGCTTTGCATACGCTGTGCTGCGATTATGAATATTTAAACACTTCTATCTAGTTAAATTTCTGCCTCATTTGCATACATTGGCATACTGCTTAATATAACGCACACGGGGAAGAGGGTGCATGTTGCATTTTTAATTTCCCTTCGAGAGGAATTGGTTTTACGAGTGCCGAGAAGCTTATTTTTTTTCCTAAAGGAAAACAACTTGTTGGGGGTGGGGGGAGGAGGGTGTTAATTAACTGTTTGATGGGAAGAGCTGGCAGAACTCAAACCCTGACTGCAACTTCCTCTCCTGTGCTCCTTTTGCTGATTTGGCTGCAGAAATCACAAATGGTTCCAGGGCAGGGAAGGGTTTGCAGCTGACCATGCGGATTCTGCCACATCAGATTTGCTCTATAAAACGTTTCCAGCCCTGCAAGGGAGGTGCGTGCTGCAAAGCAACTTGTCCTATGTGTTCCCAGAACTCAGTGATTGGCGTTCCAGATGTTCCCAGAACTCGGCGATTGGTATTCCAGATGTTGAACAGGCAGGGAGAAGCTCACCGGGCTGCTCTTGGCTTCCGTGCTGCCAAACAAACTTCCATGAATCTGATCTTAAATGTGGCTTTTAGCTCTTTTTTAAATGTTCTCTTCCCCAAAATTCCACTGGCACAGACCTGATTTAGGGGCACTGATATCAGCAACTGCATTGCTCCTCTTAAAGGAGAGATCTGTGGGGTGCAGGAGGCTGTGGTGATGCTCAAAGGCTGCCTGAACTTTCAGAACCCGTCCAATCCAACCATCCCATGGTTCTATGATCTTCAAGGACCATTCCAACCCAAATATTCCATGGTTTTACGATCTTTAAAGACCCTTCAAACCCGTCCTATGGGTCTACGATCTTTCAGAACCCTTCCAACCCAATGATGCCATGGCTCTATGATCTTCCAACCCATTCCACAATTCCATGATCTTTAAGAACCCTTCCAATCCATCCTACGGCTCTATGAACTTTAAAGACCCTTCCAATCCAAGCATCCTTTGGTGCAGTGACCTTCGAGGACCCTTCCAACCCAACCATTCCATGCTTCTGTCATCTTTCAGGCCCCTTCCAACCCAACCAGTCTATGATTCTATGACCTTTAAGGACCCTTCCAACCCACCCCATAGTTCCATCACCTTTCAGGACCCTTCCAACCCAATCATCCAATGGCTCTGTGCTCTTTCAGGACCCTTCCAACTGTTCCTATGCCTCTCTGGTCTTTATGCCCTGCTTTCACACCCTGCAGTGCCATGGGCATGCTTCCAGCCATTCTCCCACTTCGAAGGGTAAATACGGCTCTATCCCAACACACACATGTGTGCTTTGCAGCCAGCTCCAGCCAGAGCTCTTCCCGTTGCATTATTCACAAGCCCTCCAAGGCACAGCAGCCAGCCAGCTGCATATTCATCAGCAATACTACATTATTCATGAAGTGTTGGCTTACACTGAGGGGGAACACAATGCCAGCACGGAAGGCAAAAAGCTGGAGAGCAGAGGGCTGTGCCCTGAGACTGCAGAAAAACCATAAAAGAGAGCTGGGGGTTCTTTGTTGGAGCAATTTCTCCTCTGGGAGAATGGTGATGCGTTGGTTGCAAGGAGGGGTGGGGGGTCCAGAGCTGCACATCCAGAACTAAAAATCCAGAACTCCAGATCCATTGCTCCACATCCAGAGCTCCACATCTACAACTCTACATCCAGAGCTCCAAATCCAGAGCTGCATATCCAGAACTCTGCTTCCAAAGGCGATGGATTTTCCTAACAGTGTTTGGCCCTTAAACATCAAATTAATTGGAGGCTGTGGCAGGAAACTTCGCTGCCACTCTCGACTGTGGACTGGTTGGGTTGGAAAGGTCCTGCAAGGTCACAGAACCATGGGATGTTTGGGTTGGAAGGGTTCTTAAAGCTCTCTACCACTCCGTACCCCATCGTCGAATGGGTTGGAAGTTTGTTGTTTTTAGGGTTTTTTGTTTGTTTTGTTTTAATTAGGGGTGGTTGGCAGGGCTGTGCTGGGTGGGGCTGTGAAGGAAACAAGCTTGGCTGGGAATGCGATGGTGTTCAGCACAGCCCCGCAGGGAGCCGCAGTGCGATGGGGGCCATCAAATATCTCCCCCCAGTGACTTCCAGGCCTCATCTCTCCGTCACAAATGATTCCTGGGCCACATATCCCCCCTGCCCCACCACCAAAGACCCCTGGGCCACCCTCCATTGACCCCCTCCCACCCCACATGCGCCCCCTCAGGGCCCTTCGAAGCCCCTCGCTACTGCAGTCCTTGCATGCTGCCCCCCCAAAGCCCTGACTGGGCCCCCCCCACTACTCTACGATCTGTTCGAGGGTCCCCGTCGCCCACCTGCCGCCCTCCATCTCTTTATTCGGCAGTCCCACCTCTCCCCCGTCTTAAGGGCTGCGGCCCCTTTAAGGGGGCTCGGCCCTGCCCCCTCTGCGTGATGACGCAGCGCCGTGCGTGCGGCGCCCACTTCCGGCCCGCCGCCCGCCGCAGTGACAGGCAGCAGTCAGAGCGCGGCGCGGGCACAGCGGGACCGCCGCCCCCCGCCGCCGCCATGAACGGCAAAGGCAAGCACCGCGCCGCGCCTGGGGCAACGCCGGGGGTCACGCCGCGCCGCCGCTGTCACCACCCGGGGGTCGTCTTTTAAGAGGGTCGCGGCGCCTTTAAGGGCCGCGCCGCAGCAGCGGAACGGACCAATAGGAGCGGCACTGCGGGGGGCGGGCGCGCGTGTTGCCATGGCGACGGGCGGCTCGGCCGGGGTTTAACCCTGTGTGCGCCGCGGGGGAGCGCTTGGGGGGGAATCCCCGGATGACGTCACGAGGGGCTGCGTTCAACGCCAGGGGGGAGGGGCGGAGCGGAGACCCTCCCGGATGAGGAATGGGGGGTGGGCCGTGCGGAGGGGTAAGGTGAGGAACTGGGGGGGTTTCTGTCTTTGCGGGGAGGTTGACAGGGACGGGGGGCGTTGGGGAGCCCCGCGTGGGGGATGGGACGTGGGGGGGGTGAGTGGAGGAGCGATCATTGCCTCTTCTGGGATTGGGGGGAAGGTGGGAGGGGGGCTGTATCCAATGTCAGGGGGTGAATGGGAAGGGGAGACCCCCAGAGGGGCAGCGGGGGAACCCCATGGCACGGGGAAAGCACCCCCCGGTACAGGGGGTTCCCACCGCGTATTGCTGGGGATTGGACCCCACCGAGGCAGGGTAGGAACCTCCCCACCTCCCCCCCACCGCCAAACAAAGGGGTCAGAGCATCCCCTCCCCCACGGCACTGCTCCCCGTGCTCTGCCCCATAGCCCAGCATGGCACCCGAAGACCCTGGGGCTCAGCACCCCACGGGCTGGAGGGGGCCCCCCTGCTCTGCTCTGGGTCTGCTATAACCCCGCAACCCCCCCTGCTTCCTTCCCCCACCCCCAGAGTCCCCCCCCCCCCACCCCCATGTGCCCCAACCACGGCCCGGAATCAGCTGCAGCATTCCCAGCAGCTGCCCTCATCGCTGCGGTTTCATCACATTTCTTCACCAGACTTCCCCTTTTCCCCATCTCCCTCCATCCAACGCAGCACCGAAACTCCAGAATTCCACTTTCTAGTGACCAGAACCTTCCCAGCGTCCCCAGCAGGGATCTGGGGGCTGTGTGTGGGTCGGGCTGTGACCTCCTCTCTCCCCCCATAGGGCAGTACCCCACGCAGCCCTCCTACCCCGTGCAGAGCGCTGCCAACCCCCCCGTGTACCCACAGACTGTGCCCCTCCCGCAGCCCCCGCCGTACACCGACGCTCCTCCTGCGTACTCCGAGGTGAGCAGAGTTTGTTTTCTTCAGAAATAATAAGGATTAAAAGATTAGAAAAGAAACCAAAACCCACAAACAAACAGCAGCTCCGGGTACGCTGATAAATGCGTTTCCTCTCTGCCTCTCTGACTTTTTGCTGCCCTTAATCTTTCTGTAGAACTGAAGTCTGAGCACTTTATTTTTGTTTTTTGGAGCAGAGGTGGCACAGAGCCTCCGGGTGCAGAACGGGGTGGGGGGGAGGGGTGAAGAAAACAACAGGGGGAGGAAAGGGGGGGGAAATATGCACTAGAACTCAGGGTGGGGGGTGGCAGAGCAGGAGGTGAAAGTCCACCTCGAGGCTGAGGAAGCAGACGGGTGTGTGGGGCCATAAAGCCTGGAATAACGCCCTGCCTCGTGACTCTGTGCAGCTCTACCGTCCCAGCTTCGTCCCTCTGGGGGCTGCCACCGTCCCCACCATGTCGGCAGCGTATCCGGGTGCCTCCGTCTTCCTGCCCGTGGCCCAATCCGTGGCCGTGGGGCCCATCGGTTCCTCCGTCCCCATGGCCTATTACCCCGTGGGACCCGTCTACCCGCCGGGCTCCACCGTGCTGGTGGAAGGTGGCTTTGATGCTGGAGCGAGGTTTGGGGCTGGAGGAACCGCCAGCATCCCTGTGAGTACAGACTGAGCCCCAAAAACCTGCAGGGAGGAGACGTGCCTTGATTTCTGACCTGGGAGGTGGGGGGGGGTCACAAAAGTGCAGCTGCAGGCTGACTGTGCCCTGGGCTGCATCGACAGACGGGGGGCAATGGGGCAGGGAGGGGGGTTGTCCCCCGGTGCAGTGGGGCAGGGAAAGGGGTTGTTCCCCCCTGCTCTGCCCTGGTCAGGTCTCATCTGCAGTGCTGCCCTCAGCTCTGCCCCTCCCCCCACCTCAGAAGGGTGGGGGGCTCTGATCACCCTTCCAACCCATCCCCCCTATGGTTGTTGTCCTCCCCCTGCCTCTCCCCATGCCCCCATTCCCCATCCCAGCACAGCTGGGGATGTTCTCCCATCCCCCAACCTTGCATCCCCCTGAAGTTCTGAGCCCCCCCCCTCTGGGTTTTGCAGCCCCCCCCTCCCGGCTGCCCCCCCAACGCAGCACAGCTGGCCGTCATGCAGGGAGCCAACGTTCTGGTGACGCAGAGGAAGGGCAACTTCTTCCTGGGAGGCTCAGACGGTGGCTACACTATCTGGTGAAGAAGGAAAGGGGGCTGGGTGGCGGCGGCGGCTGTGGTGGGGGGGGGGGGGATTTTTGGGGGATGGGGGGGGGGGGGGGGGGCCTACGTGTGTGTAAGGAACCGTCAGCACTTCTCACCGTGTCACTGCTTCCGTCCCAAATTAACCTGAGGCGGCAGAGCCGAGGTGTCTTCCTGCTCCTGAACCCCACCGCGGCCGCCATCCCTCCAT